GCAGGAATTGAGCTTAAAACAATTAGATCAAAATCACATACCTGGTAAACTACCAGGGATATGATAATGCTAATGACTAAGGGAACTTCAGTGTGCTCCTAAAGACACTTTCCTTTAATTGTCTGTTAAATGACTGTGAAGTTTATGGCAGAAGATTCCACTGTCTAATGATGGAAGACTGAATTACAAACAAAACCAAATTGTGTTTTTATTATAAATACTAATACTTTCCTGTTTCTCTGGTATGTTTCTCCACAACTGTAGGTATATTGACATGTTTTCTGAGGTGCTGGAGACATGCATTCTGGACACGGATCAAACTTTTCACATGCTAAGGACCAAATTCTGCCCAGCGCACGCCCTACTGCTGCCTTCAGTAGGACTTGCCACCTTTGGTCAAAATTTGGCTCTAATGTCTCTTGGTGCTTCAAAACAACTACAGTCAAATCAGACAAACTTCCCAGCATGTTATAATTTGTGTTGAGAAATGACATTCTGCATCATCATTTGTACCATCATCTAGTAGTGTGCCAGGAGAATCCAGATGCTCCTGATAAGGTGCAACCCTGCTCTGAAAACCAAAGGGCTGGCAGTTGAGAATCCAAGTCCCACCAAACATGCTCCCAACCATTTGAGGTGGAGCATGGCTGGGATGGAAACTTGCTCCACCGTCATAAGCACGTGTGGAGGTGCTACTTTGCTTTGCCAGGGTAAATGAAGGGGGAAGGAGCAACCAACAAAGCCAGGATCTACCCTATGCTAGTTGCTGTGCAGAGACACAGTGAGAGATGGACTTCGGTCCCCAAAACTTACAGGCTAAGGCTGGAGCAGACACAGCTTCATATGGATCAAAAGCAGGTTTTATCGGCATACTACATAGCTCAGAAGGATATATGCTGCATCCATCAGTGCTTCTGCCCTTAACCACCCTTTCTTTCTTTCCCTTTGCCCAGCATACCCCACACTCAGTTTAAAGGGAAGGTTATCACAACCCTTATTTAGCAATTCAGGTGTGAAAAAAATGCTTGCCTTTAGCCCTTCTCAGACTGCTTCACTTGGTGAAGTGGAGAACAGGCTCATTTGTCACTCCTGTCTGTTAGGAAGCAGACAAAAAGAAAGCAGAAAGGAGAAATGAGCAGGAGTTGTCCTGCCCTTATCTTCACACTGGGCAGGCTGAGGATAGAGAAGAGGGTGTCCAAGCTATTCCATAAGGAGATGAAACATTTAGAGCAAAAGAGGAGTGAAAGAATAATCCCAAACATGAGTCACAATTCATTTTCCTGAATCCGTGTAGCTGTGCTTCCCCGCTAATGCAGGGCAACCTGCAAAACTGCACCATGGTTCTGAATAGATGAGACAGATAATGAGTGCAATATTAACTGCTGAGTGGTCTTTACTGTAATAAAGAAATTGTTTTTCCTCAGTAGGTAAAGCCAAGTGATATAATTCACTGAGTAAAAGGAGGAGACACTTGGCAGCTTGGCACCAGTACTAATGAAGCCAATAGCCTTCTCTGCTTTCTCCTTTTGGCTGGCTCTCCTTTTGGCTGGCTTCCTTGGCATACACATCGCTGGCAGTTTTGTGAGAAGTCAGAAGAACCATACGCTAATTTTCACCAAGGAAAACACAATTCGCAACTGCAGCTGCTCAGCGGATATACATGATTGTGATTACTGCCTGGCAAACTTGATATGCAATTGCAAAACGGTGCTGCCTTCTACCCTAGAAAAAACTACCTACAACAGCCACCTGACCATTTGGTTCACAGACACCTCTGTGCTGGAGACGCTCCTCAACTTCACAAGGGTGTGGGATTTGAAGCTGTCCTTCTGTGGCACCACTCCTCTCCCAACAGAATATTTGGCCATTTGGGGACTTCGAAAGCTCCAGGTAAACAAGGTCAAGGGACAATTTCCAGAGCAGAGTGTAACCATCTACAGCAGCAGCAACAACGAAAAAGAAGACTCACTTGTGGTGCACAACAAAGACAGGCAAATGCTTGTATATATTTCCTTTCTGGATACCTCGCTTTTCAATGGATATTCTTTGCTGAAGTCCTACAGTATTGAAAACATCTCTAGTATCACAGAGCACTTTCCCAGCCTGCTGTACTCTGATGTTTTCTCAACCTCAGATAACAAGAGCTATGTTGTAACATTCATTTACTGAGTTATTTAACACATTCACTAGTCAGAGGCATGGCAAACTGCTATGAGAGAGATAAGACTTCTTTAAGTCTGTTTGGTTTGGCCAGGAGGAGCTGTTATGGGATAGACAGTTCTGACTGTGATAGCACTCTGCAAGGAGGTGCTTAAAGTAAGACAGACACATCAGACTAATTCAGTAAATGCTTTCTTAAAGAACAAAGAAAATGTGAAACAAATGGTTTAGAAAGCATCAGTACAAATTCTTTTTATATATTGTAAGCTAAGAACTGAAATCTGCAGAAAATTTTGTTTTAAGTTTGTGCCTCAGACAGAAGAAGACATAACCATGTGCCTCTGGTTGTAGAAGAACCTGAGCCTCCCAGAGAATCACTCAGGTTAGATGGGAGCTCAGGAGGTCTCCAGTCCAACCCCCTGCCCCAGGCAGGGTCACCTCTGGGATCAGACCAGGCAGCTCAGGGTTTTCTGCAGTCAAGTCTGAAAACCCCCAAGGACAGAGCCTGCAGAACCTCATTGGGCAACCTGCTCCACTGCCCACCTGTCCTCATGGCGAAACTTTTTTCTGCGTATCAACCCCAGCATTCCCTTCTCCAGGCTGAGCAAGCCCAGCTCCCTCACGTTTTTCTCACAGTCACATGCACCAGCCCCTGACCATCTTGGTGGCATTCCACTGGACCACTTCAGTTGATCCACATCCTTCTCGCACTGTGGGGGCCAAAACTACGTGCAGTACTCCATATGCAGTCTAGTAAGTGCCAGGACAAGGGGAACAATCCCTTCCCTCCATCTACTGGCTGTGCTGCTGTCAATACAGCCCACTGCTGTCAGGTTCAAGGGGTGCGAGGTGGTTACGGGTTACTCAAACTGGGAGTGCTGAGTTGTCCTTGCCCTCTGGTACTTGGTCAGAGCTGGGAACCCTCTGCTTGGGCTGAGTGACACAGCCTTTTACAAAAGCAGGGGTGGGCTACGCAGGCAGCCTCCAACCTCAACGCAAAACTGAAGGTGTGTTTGGGGGATGACCAGGAAGCCGTGTTCTCTGCCAAGCCACAGCACACATCATGAGAAAGCGCTGGGCAAGAGGCCACCTGACAGGTGAGACACCACGCTCACAAAGGTTCGTTTCCCAGGGCAAGGCCTCTCTCTTGCACGTTGGCTGTGCCAACGCCTGCGATTTCCCCAAATGCAGGGAACTTGACTTCGTTTTTTGTGAAAATGACAAGCTCTGCTCATGTTCTCCTCTATGAGAAATGAGAAAGATCCCATCCAACAACTCTCATCTGATAAGGGAGGCAAGACTTCTGGCAGACACGTAGCAAACAATTTTCAGACGTGCTGTGGGAGAAAGATTGCCATCTCCTGAAAAACATACGTTGGGACTATTTATATAGCCCAAAGTCTGCTCCTTGCTCATATCTGCAGGATTTGCTTTCTATGAGAAATGACTAAGGCCGAGATCCATCCATATAGTACAATAAAGGCTTTGGAACAGCAAGTCCTAACAGTCTTGAATTGCCAGCAAAGGCTTTCATGAAATTGGGGAAAATTATGTGTACTAAGGGGAATGGCTATCAAGACTCTGAGGAACCAATGAATTTGTTTCAACAACTTTAAAGAAAGACTTTTGCTATAACTGTAATCGATGATGGAGCAGTTTTGCAAGGAAGCAAAACTTAATTTTTCAGAATACTTAAGTCATGCACACCTTCCA